GTTATTATTCAGTTATTTAACTCAAGCACCATCCTACAGCAAGACAATTTGAGGAAAGGTTGAGCAAATGCTTTACATGAAACTCAAGTAAAAGATAGCCACTCATTAAATGTGACTGGTCCAGAGGGATCTATACTGGGGGCCAGAGAAGTAGCAATAGACTCCAAAGTCAGAGAGAACACTGAGAGCTCAGATGGGTGAAAGCAGTATGGGGGATATCAGAGTTAGTTTGTGTGAGACCTGACAAGATCCTGACTGAGATGGTGTGTTCATTGGCAAGAGAGACATGGAAGTGCATAGAAAGGGCATAAAAAGGGCCATTGGAGACTTGGAATTATTTGGTAAGTGTAGGAGGTTTATTTCTTTCTGTTAACTTGTTGAAAGAAATACAAGAAAATGAAAATCACCAGAATTTATGTTCTGTGTAGCATAAACCAGGTAAGGGTGAAAGATATTTGCTAATACATCTTCTCATTTAAACCTTCTAGAGACCCTGTAATATCATTACCATGTTGCAGAACAGAAAATGGCCATTTGGGAAATTTAACTATATTGATCAAGTATTTTTATGGTCCTTAAATGCAATTATTAACACTTAAGCATACATACTTTTCTATTGTTCTGATTTCTAACCAAATTTATTTAATTAATGAGTAATCTCTTTGGTAACAGTGAGGTGCATTACGTATTTCAGGAAAGTACATGGTAAAAGATACTTTATTTATATTACTTGCTTTATTAGTTAAATGAAAACATTACTACAATAAGTGGACTTCTATGTGTAGTGTAGAAGAGAAGTCAAAGACTCAAACCACGCAGTTACTGGCAAATTCTAGTGTGTTTGGCCCCTGAACTTGCTTTTTGAATCTCTTACATTTTCCTGGCAAGATCAGGCATGCTCAGTGTGGTATTGCCACAAACTGTGTAATATGTTCTTCATTGGAATTTCATGGAAGAAGCCTTTGAAACAATAATCTGTATTATAGAAAATGAATGAGAATTTGCACAATCTTAGCTGGTGAATGTCAAGCAGAATCGATCCTCAAGTCACAATACTTGGCTTCAAATCCTATTCCTATTATCTGACTAAGCTGTAGGGCTTTTGTTATTTCCGCCAGTCTGTTCTCTTCCATCCCTCTAAGAGGATGGTCTTTCTCCACTCACCAGGGTGAGATTAGCTATAATATTATTTGACTGATAATTGTGTACGTAGGAAGATATTATTGTTGTTGTTGTCTGAAGTGAAGTTTTAAAAATGACTCCATATCTAGGGTTTTCCCTTTTTGCATGAGAAGAACATCATTCCCCTAATAGGGGCTGCTCTTCTTTCTATGGAGCATCATGGACCACAGTAAGAGGTAAGCTGTTTAGGACATTCAGCATGAAAAATGAATATGTGTGATTGAAAGTCGTTAAAATATTTTGATTAGTTGCTTCATTTAGTTGATTAGTATACCAATTTTGGTTTGCAAAGCTATTCTTTCTATGATACAGATTTCCCCTTTGGCAAGATTGAGTGATTTTTTTTTTTTTTTTTTGGTTTTTCGAGACAGGGTTTCTCTGTGTAGCTTTGCGCCTTTCCTGGAACTCACTTGGTAGTCCAGGCTGGCCTTGAACTCACAGAGATCCGCCTGGCTCTGCCTCCCGAGTGCTGGGATTAAAGGCGTGCGCCACCACCGCCCGGCAAGATTGAGTGATTGTAATGATATAATGGGCTAATGAGCATGCAGTATTTAGGGCAGTGCTCTATTGATAAAAGTTTGTCTAAAGAAAGAATTCCACATCTGTAGCATTTGCCAGAGTGTGGGGTAAAAATGTTCTTTTTGATTGATCCCAAACTACTGGGAATGGTGTCACTGAATGGGGACTTAGGAGGTCACATGGTCAACCGTACTGAGTAGGATGTGGCTCCAGCACACTGTTGAATTCATAACAGAGCACAGAACAAGAAATACATTAGTCCCTGTAAAATAGAAAACACTATAGAAATGTGCATTTGCTGAAAACAAGTGATTGCAAAGAAATAGATTCTTAAAGTTCCTTTATTTTGGGGGCCTGAAGAGATGGTTCAGAGACTTTGAACACTGATTGCTCCTCTAGAGGACTGGGGTTCAATTCTCAGCACTCATAAAGCCACTTACAGCTCTTTTTCATGCCCATTTCCAGGGATCCAACATCCTCTTCTATACTCCCTGGTGATACAATTGATACACAGGAATGCATACCAGAAAACACTCTTGCATATAAAATAAAATAGCTATGAAAATGGTTATCAAAGACAGAAAAAAAAAGTAACTAAACACTGACTTCTCATTAGGAAGAATAACAATAATAAAAGATTAGATGTATTTGTGCTCTCACTTATTGATAATATTATTTTTGTAAATAGGAATCAATATTGAGGGAAATGTTAGGTAGCATGTTTACTAAAATGTATTTGTAATCTACTTTCTATGAAAGTGGTAGTTATCAGAAAGAGCTGTAAATGTTACTAATCATTGAAATGTCCAAGTAAGGGTAGTTATTTTGATATTGTAATGAACAGATCACATCCTGCCATTCCTTAAAAATATTTCCTCCTAAAAATATTGCATAACACCCCCATGCAGTATATTTTCAAATTGGTAGTTTTCAGACCAATAATGCAGTGTGTTCATACTTAAGGGGACAGTACCTCCATTTTGTAACCATAGTGTTACTGACTGTAACGGTGCAGTTCATTGTCGTGGACACAGACCCCCACATTCTCTCAACCCTTCAATTTACTCTGTAGCTATTATTGAGAGAAAGGAACTAAGAAAAGGCATTCATCAAATGTCTCTAGAAATATCACATATAAACAGAAATGCATATGTATTTATTGAGAGAAGTGTGTGAATAGATGAATTTTTCTTGATGAGAGCATAAAAGATGGAAGCAGTTCATGAAATACATATTTTGCTTTGTATTTTGTCATTTGGCCTTATCAATCTGAGCTAGCACAAACTATGAAATGGGAAATAACTTGAGTGTAACAGCCTTTAATGCTGCCCTAGAATAGGAGGTCAGGCTTAACTTGGCAAATTCATCAGGGAAAGACTGTTAGATATTATTGGATCATCACAATATAGAGCATACAATACTTTTGGGGTGTTTGAAATCCAAATTATAGGCTAATGAATAAGGAGATTATATTGTACAACATTTTTAGAATCTATTTTCCCTTGGAAAATGCAGCCACAGTTACAGACACTCTGTAGGTGGAAGAATTCACACACTCACATAGTTTATGGTAATAAAGGGGGAAATGCTAAAGTGTATATCTCATCTGTTAACACAGCCTTAAGACTACAGAAAACGTCTCATACCAGTGTTTTCTTAAAATATGCCTTAGTATATTTAAGAGTGATGCACACACACACACTTTTCAGTAGTCCCACTCCCCATATGTATGAACACCAAAGCCTATGTCATGGCTGCCCTCTTCAGTTAGAACCAGGTTTAACTCCTGGTAAATCCCCTGTGGATTTTTGTTCATACTGGATTCCATACTGACTTTGCAAATGTTCTTCATGTCTTTGGCAGAACTCAGAGTCCCCTTACTGGGCTTGGGGAATGATTACAAATATGTCTTTCTTGACATCTTCCTTGCCTAAGGAATGAGAATGTAATGTTGGGTGGGAAAAATTAGGTTTTTTTTGTTACTATTCAAAGAATTTTATGGAGTGTAGTGTACAATAACTTCTGAGAGGAACATGAGTTGTTTTAAATAGGGGGTGGCCAATGATGGCTTATGAGATATTGCATTTAGCCTAATAACTTCTGGGTTTTGTTTGTTCTTTTGTTCTTGCTGTAACACTGTAAATCTGGAGAAGTTCCTGGGGTCATCGGAAGCTGATTTTTTAACTACCTCTCATCAGTTTTATTGGAACCTACCTTTGTATGGCAGGAGAAAGAGAGACTGATCTTAAGACCCAACATAAGGTCTACAAGAGGAGAGCAGAGCTGCTGCTGCCCTGTGCTGAGTCTGAGGCTTAGCCCAGGAGTAGATGGCCAGCTGTTCACCTTGTTCCCTCTCTCTCTCTCTATTGTCATGATACATATCAATAGACAAACAAGGCACTCAGGCCTTCCATGACTTAGGGACCACATACACAGCCCGGGTCCTTCTTACTCCAAACCTGCCATCTTCTTGCTCTTTCCATCCGCCATCTGTGAGGAATGGTGCCAGGCACCCAGGTGGCACTCAGACAGTTCTACATTTACCCACTTCCTGCCCCTTACACTTTTTTTTATCACTTTCTAAAAATCCTCACTAAGCTCTCTTGCAGCTGTGTAAGCTGCTTGCTATCTTAAAGTCTTTTTGCAGTTTTCACAGACTCAGTTATGAAAACAAAACCAAACCAGCCCAAACAATAACGCATCTATTGGTCTTCTCATTCATACTTCTAGAACAGCACAGACACTTCAGTGGCTTCTGGGAGCCTCTAAGAGACCGAGATGGGGGGAGGGCAGAATGTCCTTCTCTTTTAAATTTGAGAAAAACGTCACCATCCGATAAAGGCTTGGTTCTGAGGTCCCTTTTACAACCCAGGGAGCGAGTGGACTCGCTGACCCAGAAGGCATTAACTAGCAAAATCATTTGTAACCTAATGCTACACTAGATCTCTTTGCAGGCCACTGTCCCCTCCCCCGCCTCCTATTAGCTCTTCTATGGGGGTGGGGAGGACAGTCCCTTCACTGCTGGGCGCTGTCCTCTTCCCAGCAACTCAGCCTTTGATTTGAGGTTGTCCAGCCTGAAGCTGCAGTAGTAATGGGGGCCTGTGTGGTCTCAGGGTCACGTCCCTTGGGGATGGCCCTCTCACCGAAGTCAGGGAGTTCTTGGTGGCTCCCGGCGAGCCACCAGGCTAGCGAGCCGCGTGTGCCGCTCCCTCCCTCTCCCCGCCCCTCCCTCCCACCTCTCTGGGCCAGCGCTCCCCACGGTGACTCTGGATTGCAGCAGCCAGCCACTGGCTTCTTACCAAATTGGGAACTGCATTATGGCTTTTTTTCTTTCTTTCTTCTTTTTTAAAATTTCCTTCAGAGGGAATAATCTCAGCCCCCTTCAGCTTGCTTGACAATCTAGTGTGACTGGGGCGAGTAGGCGGGCACATCCTTTTACATGCTAATATTGCCCCACCTCCTTTGAACCCTCCTCAAAGCGCCTTGCTTTCTTTTATTTTTATTTATTTATTTATATATATTTATTTATTTTACCTCCCTCAATTTCCTTATAGTGGGGAACTCTTCTTTGCTTTCTGTCCCTTCCCCCACTCCCGGTCCCCCCTGGAAGACAGACCCCGAGAGGCGCTGTACTTGAGGCCGGCAGCGCTAGCACCTAGGCTGGGGATGGCTGCACCCGGCGCGGGGGGCAGCGATCAGAGCTGCCGCTCGGTCTAGGCTGTCTAGGCTGTCGCTCCGAACGCTGGGTGAGCACCGAGTTCGGGTCCCCCAGCGAGCTGCCACTGCCGCAGCTGAAAGGAATGTCCCCTGTTCTTAAGGACCCTGACTGTTTTACACCAATGATTTGCCACTGCAAAGTTGCTTGCACCAACAACACTTTGTCGTTGATGTTTGGATGCAAGGTAGGATGAGGGGTTTGTGTCTTATTTTAATGCATGCTGACCTCCCTGGGGAGAGCAAACAATTTCTTTTGTTGTTTGTTTATGTGTCTGCCTGTTGGGTGACGGACAGAACTGCGCTGTCCACTCTCGGAGCCAGCTGGGGTTTGGAGCCCCGAGAGTCCAATGATTTTCCAGCGGACCATGTTGGCATGATAGCTAGGCGGTGACAGGACCCTGTATGGAGCACACAGAAGCTGCAAGCGCTCTTGAAAAGAGGGCGCCTTAGTTGTCTCTGTGCTTCGGATTTCTTCCTGCCTTTAGCTTGTGACTAGCTCCTGGGCGCTGGTTTGCGTGCTAGAAAGCCTTAGACTGGAGCAGGACCACGGGCTAGGGTAGCAAGGATCATAGAAGTTCTCCAGATAAAACAGAGCAGCTTGGTTTGCAGTGAGCGTTTCCATAGGTGAAGGGCTTATGGCTACTTTAGGCAGATATTGTAGAGATGTATACATGTAGTCCTCAGTCATAAGATTGTCTTCGCTTTTACACAGCAAGCCAAATGCTTAAGAAGAGGTGTCACGGCGCCGTACTTCATGAAGTTTGCAGCAAATAACCGCCCTATCCCAGAGTTTTGTAAGGATGCTCAGTGTCAGAAGGAAATGAGTTTTGACTGGTTTTGAAACGGTTCAGTCCAGGACTGAAAGGTTTTTTTTATTCGAGCTTTCTTGTTGGCTGTGGTGGGCGCTACCTGAACTTGCTGTTTGCGAAGTTGTTGCTCATGAGTGGTCTCAGTACCTACCTGTTCTTTGCTCCCCAGGGTGATGAGCTTAAGCGACAACTTGGTGGGTTTATTCAGTTGTTTCTAGAAATCACTTCTTGCGGGTTGCTATGAAGATTGTCTAAAGGAACGTGTAGGTGAGAGTGGGAGTACTTTATCTGAAGTAAGCGAAAGTGCACACCTGTAAGTGAATGCAAACCACCACGTGATAGCCACTGCTCTGAGGGATATCAACAGAGACTGAATGGGACAGCTGTTAAACACAGTAAAGTTAGTGAAACACACACACCCCACTTCATGGGGCATAATGCTCACAGGAGGCAGGCATAATAGAAAGATTGAGAGTTAACTGCTTTACACTGAGTGGCTAGAGACTCTAGTCTTTCCTTGGAACATTTTTGGTATGAAATGAAAAATGTGGGTGAGGGAATTTCTGAGACCCCCCAGACTTGCAACATTCTCAGATATAATCTTGTATAAAAGACTTTTAAGAGTGAAATGAATGCCAATTATTATTATGGTCTTTAGTGTATATAACAAGTTCAGGATCTGCATTAAATGGTGATATGGATCTTATTTTTTTTTGAAAAACCTCAAATAAGTCTTAGGTCATTGAGGGTTTGTGTGTTTATTACTGACAAGATGTGTGAGAGAACAGCTCTCTCACTAGTTTGCCCCCCCACAACTTATCACCGCTTTGTGTGCTCCTAGCCCCTCTCGCTGCGAACTCTACATATACTAGCATCTTAGCACTAGGTACTGTTTAGAATCCATTATCACAAGCTTATGAGACTGGCTCTGCAGTGCTAAATGCTTATTAACAAAGAAATGTGAAATATTTGCTCAGGGAAATTAAGCCCAAGATAAAATAATCAAATATGATAAGCTATTGGTATGAGGACTGTTGACTGTACATCCTAATAGCCTAGTTCATGTTTGATGAAGTTTCTTTTATGCTGTTATGTTTTCCCTAATTTTCAAGCCATATTGGAAGAAATTCATTTAATTATAATCACCTTTTAAAGAGGATGGGTAATTACATTAATTTAACTTTGTTTTGGTTCTACTTCTTTTGGTGTCCTTGTTTAACAAGTTCATTTTGACTCTATTTATGTCAATGGAGTAAACTATCTAAATCAAGTTGACTTTGTCTTTTGAAAATAAATTAATTCTGTGAAAACAAACTATACTTTTAGAGAGTCTACCCCATTATATATTGTCAATTATTTGAATACAATTACTCTCAAAAGTCCTATATTATTATATTATAATAATGCAGTCTAATTATACTTCTAAGGTGATTAATTATGTACTAGTTAATGTAAGATTTCCGTCTTGGAGTCTTAAATACAGAAAGATCACTAGTACTTTGTACACTTGCTTTCCACAGTGAAGTTTTTCAACATCATCTAATAGATAATAACAAAATACAATATGAAAAACAAAACAGTGGGGTTTCGAATGTAGGCTTCACATGTACCATGTATATGATTTCTCAAGTGTCAATTTTCTCAGATAACATGACCACAGTGATAAATACAGGTTTACATATTCCTATATCATGAATGCAAAAGAAAGTTAAGTAAGAAGCATGTGGTGCTGAATATGCATGTATTCATCAGGTGAATGGTGCTTTCACATGGCTTTGGCTATTTTACTAGCTTCCCCAAGAGCAATGCTCAGACCTTCTAGGAGGAAACCCTTCCACTGTGCAGGTGTTCTTTTCATGTCTTCCTTGGCTGTGAGCTGGAACATTGTATTTTCCCAAGAATATTACTCTAGGCTAACTGTTCACATGTAGGGACTACTTACATGTTGATAGAACACTCACAAAATGAAGTAAGGAAAATTAATAACACCCCAATATCATAATTTCATTCAGTTATCAAATACTCAGCATGCAACAAATACCAACTCTTGTTCTCTATGGTTTCAAAGTTAAAGATACAGAATATAACTATCTTACTTACAATATTGATTTAAGGAAAATACATAAAAACTATTCCAGTTGAATTTTTAAGCTGTGAAAGTGGAATTTAAATACATGCTAATTAGGAGTTTCCAGAAACTTGTGTTCATCTCAATATTATCTAGGGTATGTGAAAATAAGATTAGGATGTATATTTATTTTCTTTCCTGGAAGATACTTAACATGAAAAGGCCTAAAACCCTATTTGTTTAGACCAGATTTTCACCTTTAAAATAATATACAAAGTCGTCTTAATACCTTACTAAGACATAATGATTTGTAGGATGCTGAATAATTTGATCATCAAAGTAGGACCCCTAGCATGTTTTATTTTATCTCTCTAGAGCACTCCTTTCTGCATGCTGACTATCAGTTGGTTTAGGGAACTATAACTTAGGACTGCATTAGGCTCTATTTTAGGTACTGTGCTAGACATTACACATTGAAATATAAGAATGATACCATTAGAGGAATCCCAAGGCTACCTTTCCTACCTTCCAGATTATCTGCAATAATGTGTCTGTAGAGTCTCACGGGAGAAACTAGAGCACCCTTTGCCTGAGTGTTTTCTCCCTTAGATGGATCCTCTGTTTTCTCAGTCCATTGCTATCACCACACAGCAGTGTTCATGGGAATGAACTTCCACGGAAAAGAAATATTTCTAAAAGGCTTGTCCCTCTTGTAAAAGTTCATGTGTCATCATAAAACAGGCTTCCACTTCATTTTCACTGTACTCTGCTTTTCCATCTGCAAAGACTTAAATGACTTAAATGATGCATGTAATCCTAAGGACCAACCTGTATAGTTTCCTTTCCTTCAACTTGTCTGTACCTGTATTGAAAGAGTGTTAAACACTCTTGACCCTCTCCTTTCATTTTCTTCTTTCTAGTCTCCACAATTTCAAAAGCAAGTGACACAGTAAAGACAGAGTATTTGATATCTCTCCTAGCATTCTAAGATTATTCTTACACTATTTGCTTCCTGTTTATTGTGTTTTATGAAGTTAAAAAAAAAGTAATTGAAATATGACTCATTCTAAAAATAGCTGACAGATCTGAATGAACTTCTTTGAGAAATTTCCAGTGATGATATATTGAAAGGTCTTCAGCATAATGTCCCATTAGGAAAGTGCAGATAAAAGCTACAGTGAAATGCTACTTCATGCCAGTTAGGCATTTACTATTAAAAAGACAAGAAATTACAAATATTGGAGAGAATGTGGAAAGGGGACCCCTAGTACACATACATTGAAGGTAGGAATGCTAAATTGGGAAAAGAATATAAAGCTTCTACATATATATATATATATGAAAGAAAATGAAATCAGAATCTATTGGAATAGCCCAATCTCATGTTCTTTATGCATTATTCAGAAGAGCCAAGATGCAGAAACAAACTCAACCAAGTAAATTGATAAACAATTTGTGATTTGCATACATATATGTGTGTATATGATATTTTATAATTAATGTTTGGATTTTTAGTTTCTTATTTCAGTTTTTAAGACTTGGTCTTACTGTATATCCCAGGCTAGACTTGAAATTGCTATGTAGCAAGGCTGTCTTTGAACTTGCTATATCTTGCTTCTGCCTCCAGAGTGTTGGGGTTTACAGGTGTGTGTCATCACACCAAGTTATCCCTTTAAGTGCTCTGACACACACACACACACACACACACACACACACACACACACACACACACTACTGTAAGATGATGTATATTTTAATTTTAATGCATTCATAGTAGTAACTTTGTTTAACCAAATATATTGC